TCTTCTCTGGGAGGGAACGTGGTGTCACGCATCAAGCCTGAGTGGCACTGCCTTCTCTTTTTTCTTTCTTGCTTTCTGGATGCCAGAATTGTCTCAATATCAGTTCTTCTCTTCTGCGGGGGGCCAGCCCCTGCAGAGAGATTTAGGGGGTCCCTTGGAAGGTGTGGCAGCATCGGCGATTATTCTGGAAAGAGAAAGAGAAAGAAAGAGAAGAGGGGAGAAAGAGAGAGACTGGACTCCTGCTCAAGTGACCAGAAGCCATTTAATGGGTGTAATCCCAGAGCTTTTATCCCCAAACTCCACAAAGTTATCATCACGGGAACTCCTGCTGCTATGGTTACACAAAAGGTAGCATGTGCCTTTCACATGAACAGGTCCAGGTGCACACAGGACACCCCCCACTCTCAAGCAGATGTATTTTTCAAACATAAGGAAAAACATGAAGTTCTTATCCAGTTTCTATGTACCCTTAATTGTTTATAGCTACTTAACATTGTTCAGTGCTTACTCCTAAAACCAACATAATGATATATTGCCTTTTACTATTCTATTTTAATTCAAACTGGTATCTATAAAACAATTGGAGCTATGGTTACTCTCTCCTAGCACTAGCCAGCCTAATACAAACTTCACTAAATCAAACTGAATTAACCACACTTCTATAATAAAATGGTTACTTAATTAATAGTTTAATCTATATAAACTATTTTCTAAGACCTATATCTATAAATTTCTAAAGGTCACATCAAGAGAACCTGTGACCTGCACTAAGGCTCCTCAATGTGACTCAAAGTCAAACTTAAATTGTGATAAAGCAAAAGACCATAAGCCGTGGGGAATGGGAACAATAGACTCCTAGGTTTAGCTGTGTACATTCCAGTGAGAGTTTTCTGTTAGAGCCAGCTGGAGCTTTTCTTTGTAGTTTGTGCCAAATTGAAAAGGAGGGAGGGACTGGGTCAACAGCTCCCGAACACATCCTAGTGGTCTCGGGGTCAACAGCCCTTCCTGATCCCTAACGCTCAGTGGGCCTCCATGGCCGGCTCCCAACACTCTTCCTGACCCCACATCCTAGAATAGGAGCGTCCCCCGAGAGATTTTCCATTTCGGAGAAAATTTCGCTAGGGTTCTGATTTCTCCACATTCTCACCACCAGTGGTTCTTTTCTGTTTGTTTGTTTGGTTGATTGCTTTGAATAATAGCTGTCCTAATGGGTATGAAGTGGTGATTTAAAAAAAATTTCAATGCATAAACTATGTCTATTTTTTCTTTATGTTTTCTGCCTTCATTGAAAAGGTCTCTGCCTCCCTAAGGTTATACAAGCAGTTTCCAAAGTTGACTTACTTTTGTTATTCCATTTGGTACATTTATGGCTTTGATTAACCTGAAATTCATCTTCTATTTGATTCGAGATTGGGGACACTGAGAGTCTCCTTCTGGACTGACGGCCAGCAATGCCTGTATTGCTCCCGAATGTGCATGCATTCTCCTCTCCACCATGCTGCCTTTTCTGTGGCTTTCTCCCCACCCTTCCCCCAGGGCTGCTACTGAGCCACTCTTATTCCCAGTACTTCATATGTTAGCTTGCATGTTAGTACTATCAAATTAGGCTTTCAGTTTCAGCAAAAGAAGTCAGTGTGAATGAATAGCTCTTAACAGACAATGCAGGAGGACTGTAGAAGAAAGTTTTCTGGTATGGAGCTGAAATTAATTTAATTAATTTTAAGTCAGTTAATGCTTCTCAATGACCTTTCTTTCCCTATCTGTGACCATTCAGTTTGGGTTTTTATTTAGCATTATATTGAACGGGTGGGGGTGTCACTATAGGGATTAAAAACTGCAGTAGATCTAAGAACTGTTGACTGTGACTAGGCCAGGCCGACCTTTCTGTAGAACTCTTAGATCCATACACATCAGAACATGACAGCATGGAAAAATAATGACATCTTCTCTCATTTTGGGTTTTAATGGTTACTTTCTAAAATAATGAGATGATGTATTATTTTTGAGCTTACATGGGAACATAAGTGTTGGAAGAATTATTTTCCAGAAATGAATAGCTGAAGTGTGAGCTATTTCCACAATCTACTTTTGTTTTGTGTTAAAGTCAGGTTCAGATAAGAAATTTCTACCATAAAGGCTCGCTTCTAATCAGTCAGCCCCGGGAGTAAAGTCTCGCTTCCAATCAGTTACCTGCCACAAGTCCTGAAGCTCCAGGAGCTTGGGGAGCTTGCTCACAGTCACATGACGGAACTAGAATTTGAACCCAAGCCCACGTGATCTGAAAGTCTGTGCTCTTTCCAAAAGCAACAGCGTGTGGAAAGATGAGTGTGTGTGGTCTCAGTGAGGATTGGAAACTGGGGTCCAGAGGAAGACTGGACATGAAGCTCGTGGGATAAGTTGGGATAGGATTTTTAAAGGCCGTGTCATGTCTAGGAGTTGAAAAATCAGATCAGTTTTGAGAGAGGAATCTGATGGTAGAATAAAAAGTGAATTAGAAGGAGAGGGAACCAAGACAGAAAACACAATTTAGCTGTCACTTCAGTGGTTCCACTAGTGGGTAATGGTAATCTGAATTGGAGCAGGGACCACAGGTAAGAGACTGGGTTCAAGAGACACACAGACACAATGGTAAGGTTTGGGTATCCATTTCCCACTGTTGATCCCAGCAGGCAGTTAGAAATATGAGTCTACCACTGAAAAGAGATCTGAGGTGGAGATTTAGATTCACAGGTCATCAGCAAGAGGTGGTGGTTGGAGCCCGGAAGGTGATGATATCACCAGGAACTGAGAAGAACAAAAGGAGAAGGTGTCTTAGAAGGCGGAGAGTGGAAAATACAAGATCTGAAGAGGGACCCTCTCTGGAGAGGGTTCCCGCCAGTGCTTGGCTGTTCTTAGGAGTTGTCTTTTTCCTTTGTATCCCAGTTATGAGAGAGGCAAGACTTGACCTTTTAGAAGAACTTCTCTAGCTTCCTGTTCTGTCCCTACCTTGAGCACAGACACTAATTTTCTAATAGAGCCAAAAGCTGGGCCTGATCTCTCCCAGGGCTCTTGGCACAGAGTCCCAAACCCATGCTTGCCCAGCAGGTTGGAGATGGCCACCTCTGAGGAAAAGTTGAGACAGTCAAGTGTGCAGAATGTGATCCTTATTTGGATGCTGTGGCTGCTCCCAGTTAGTTCTCTGAGGAATCTGATATAGCAAGGAAGAGGAGACCACCAGGCCTCGGGCCTTCGGAGAGTGGAACTGAAATCATGCTATGTGGGATGGGACACAAAAAGGTGGTGAGAAATTGGAGGCAGTGAGTGCATAGGCTCTTTCAAAGAGATTTAAACATAATAATTCAGGTCGGTCTGTACCTCAGGTCAATGTAGAACTCAGTGTGTGTGTCCTAAAATTCTTGCATTTATAGAACGCAAAAGGCTTTTGGCATGGCAGTCACATACTCGGTCTACTCTACTCCCGTGTTCCATACTGACTAAGTAAAAGCAAATTTACGTACAGTAGACTGCAAGATTGGGCTTTGGAGCAGGCAGGCCTGGGTTGAATCCTAGATTTGCCATTTAATGACTGTAATCATAGGCAAAATCTCTCAAACTCTGACTCTCTGTTTCCTCAACTATACTGTGATGATACCTTCAGTGGCGGTTAATACTGACGGGATTCCATTCCTACTTCCTTACAGCATGCCTGCCTGCACAGCAGAGGCTAGAAAGCCAAAGGCAAATTTTCCAGACACCGTTTCGGCGTCTGACCTGGTTCTGCCAAGTAGTCATCGCTGAAGGAGACTTGGGAGGGGCAAGTGGGCCGCGGAAAGCTCTGAAATGGCTTCAGCTGTGTTTTAGGAGTGGGAGGTGGAGCTTCCATCCTGGTCCCCAGTCTCTGTGGCATGAGATAGTCGCTGTGGAGTTCCCCGAGGGGAGTCCCACGTTCTGGCTGAGCATTTATCCTGGCTGTGTTATTTCCAGGGCTCCCCCCCGAAATTCTCAAGCTGCTGTGTACCCCACAGTGATTCTTACTCTGTTTAAACGACTGTTCAGGGTGGACTTCACTGTCTGCAACTCATGGACTCACTTCCTTGGGTTTGAGGGAGAGGCCCGTGTGTGTGCAGCTCGCATAGTGACAAGAGGAACCAGCGAGCCGAGTCCTGTTTTTCACATCTCAACTCTCGTTCTCCTCTCCCAATTCCCTCCCTTAGGAGGAAGAAGACGTGGAGGAAATCTGAGTCCTGTAATTGATATTTTCTTCCTGCTTCAAGTTTTACTCTCTCCTTCCTTCCCCCTAGCTGATGATATGTAGTACCAAGATTTTAGAATTAAAAGCAAACAAACTTTTCTCTGTCAAGAATATGACTTGCTTGGGCTTATAGACTGTTGCTTCTCCTGTGAATTTTCTAGAAATTCATTCAGAAGTTCAGCCTCCTTCTGTATTCTGGGCTTTTCAAAGCAGTGAAGGGCATCGGTTAAAGTGGTGAAGGACTTGAGGCAACAAGAAGTATGTGCCAAAGGATATTTCTATTGATGTCTCAAAACAACACCCCTCTACTGTCGTATCATGGTGTGATATGGACTTCATGCTCCAAATAAATCTCAATTTGGAGACAGACAAATTTGGAAAGCAGATTTCCATGAAAGTGGTGGTAATAAAGGTCAGTAAGATATATGTGCATTTAAAGACCCATAGATCTTACCTTACATGCAACAGAAAAAGCTGGTCATGTGTCTGAGCCATGGTTAAAGCTCCAGACCACAAGCAGGCAAGGCCTCAGGATCCAGAAGCAGAATATCGGTATCTATTCTGTGTATGTTCTGGGAAGATTTCACTGCCAAGGTGACGGCTGGTGACAGCTGTCCAAAATGGATGTGTATCAAAAGCTACTGAGAGATATTTTAAAAGAAGAATTAAAGCAATGGAAGAATGCAAACCTGCTGTAAAAGCAGAGTAATGACATCTGTCCGGTTTCAAAAGTTGAGTGGCCTTCCTTTGTCTTTTGTTTTCTCCTCAGCTGGAAAGGCAGCTCACAATGCAGAATGAGATGAGGGAGAGGCAAATGGCCATGCAGATTGCTTGGTCTCGAGAATTCCTCAAATATTTTGGAACTTTTTTTGGTATCACAGCCATCTCTTTAACAGCTGGGTATGTCTGCTATTTACTTTTAAATTTTCTTAAATACTTTATTTCTTTTTGTCTTTTCCATTATATTCCATTCCAGAGATTAGGCTTTTGTCCAAATGGTGCATGTGTAAACAAAGTAACCTCTTGTAGCTTACTGCTTGGGGGTAAACTGTAGAACTAGGGTAGAAATGATAATTCTACCTTTCGTGTCTTAGATTTCTTGTCTTTTTCTCCACTTTCTAAGTTAAAGAGAGCACTGATTTGGCACCAATATAGAAAGCCTCTACAAGTTTATTTTCACAATCCCAGGTGGTAGATACCAATTCTTACCCATTTTAAAAGCAAGGAATCTGAGCTTCAAAGTCAAATAAAGATGAACCAGTCATAGACCTTGCTCTTGAGAACTGCAGAGTCTGATGAAGGGTATTGGGTAAGAAAAGTTTGTTTCTATAGAAAACACAAGTTAATTAAGTAACTTACGGAATTGAGAACATTTTCCCAAAAAGCAGGTATGTTTTTCTTTAAGTATAAGACATATGCATTTACAGGTTATTTTTTGATATTGTCTTTTTGTTTAACAGGGCTATAAAAAGAAAGAAGCCAGCCCTTCTGCTCCCTATTGTTCCATTAAGTTTTATCTTCACCTACCAGTATGACTTGGGCTATGGAACCCTTCTAGAAAGAATGAAAGGTAAACCTATGATAAACTAGAATTTCTGTTTTCTGATTTATTTTCTGGTTCAAGGATTCCTTCCTCAGGACTTCTTAACTTATGAAAATTCTAACAAGACCCTCTCTTTGAACCTCTAATGACCAACATTTCTGTTTCCTCAGACAGAGTGGTATGCTGGAGCCAGCTCATAAGAACTAATTGTTGTGTTAAGCTGGTTGTTAAACATAATCATTTACTTTATTAAATTTAAATTATATAACCTTACAATTATAGTAAATAAATTATGTTAAATTATGTTAAAGACAAAGATAATTAAAAGCTGAGCGCTCACCTGTTTCTAATTATTTACTGTTATCCAAATTCTTAGGTTATTCATATCTATTGTATCTATCTGCTAGAAATGCAAATATAATATACAAAAACAACAAAATACAGCTATACTGTGACTTCGGTGACATCCCATTGGTAGCATGAAGTTGGTCGTGACGGGAGCATTAATTTACACAGTGGAAATCTGCAATTGCCAGATCAGGGCTTGACTTCTTATTCTGCTGATTGACTAGTCCAGGGATTGACAGGTGGACTGACCACCTGTTTTTGAAAATAGTGTTTATTGGAACACATCCATGCCCATTCCTTTGCATATTGTCTGTGGCTACCTTCCCGTTACCATGACAGAACTGAGTCGTTGAAACAGAAACATAGGAGCCCACAAGCCTATAATATTTTCTGTCTGGACCTTTAAGAAAGTTTACCAGCCTCTGGTCTAGATTTCAAAAACTGATAAAGAACATGCTAACGATGCAGATGATGTTTTGTCTTTTTTATTTGCTATTATGTTGTAAGCAGCATGCACATTGAGGGAATAGCCTTCCAATATTCAGAAACCACTGTCTGATTCAGTTGTTCACATCATTCTCAAATGAGTGAAGTTTCAACAAATGTCGTCATTGTTTCACTTTTGTCCTACTCGCTAATGTAAGTGAAAACAGCAACCACTATCCGTGTTGAAATTATACGCTCTCATCAGCTACAGCATGGTTTGTCTATGGATTCAAGAGTGCCACAAAAATCAATGAAAGCATTCTGTGAGGATGAATTTGCTATGTGGAATATAAGGGGATTATACATTTTATTGTGATATCTATCTATCTAGCTAGCTAGCTAGCTAGCTATATTTTTAAAGCAGGATTTATTGGAGGGCATAAAAGCTCCCAGAGCGGGAGGGGACTGGAGGGGGTTGCCCAATATCTATACATTTTATATAAGTAAGTTTTGAAATAAACTTAAATACATAATAAACATATGTAATATTTTTAAATCCAGAGAGCTGGTTGTGAAATATTCACCAGCTTACCCCCCCCCCCCCCCCCGCTCTCATAGAATAGGGCTTTTATTGCCCTTTAATATGGAGCTCCTGCCACAGAAGTTATTTCTGTGGTAATTTTCTGTAAAAAAAAAATTAGAATGCATCAGAAAAACCACATTAGAAATTTTGGGTTATAGATTTTCCCTGTGAAAGGACAGACCGAGAGCGGGAAGCCATTTTTAAATATCTGACATGATGAGGAAGAAATAGAAGCTATGTTTTGGAGAAATGCATACTTTAGGTAAAGATTAACTTTGCCGACTTTGTCTTTTCAGAAACACAGACTCCTTAAGCATGACCAGTATCAACCCATTGTATACAGAGTGCCTGGTGACCAGGACCCCCCCTCAGGGTTTTCTGTCCAGACTTCTGATGCCAGGCATCAGAAGTATTGCATAGCTTTTATCAGTAGGGCCTGACAGAAGCAGCAATCAAGTTTGCCTACAGTAAAGGGAACTTACAAGGCCTAAGAAATCATGCATTGGGCAAGGATTATACAAGTCACAAAACTTGTGATTACAAAAGTTATGCAGATCACAGGACTCGTGACCACTCAGAGTGGGGAGTGGGTGGGGATTTGACCTTCCAGTAGATTGGGTGCTGTCTACAGGGGAGTGAAGGATCCCCCGGAGCTGCCCGCAGGGAATGCCTAGAAGATAAGGGGAAGTGCACCCTCCATTAGCTCTAAGGAATGTTGTTCAGGAATGTACAGGAGCACTAGAATCCTTGTTCCGCCCTTCTCTGGGGACTGTGATAATGTGGACGGACATTAGAGGGTCTCTGTGTCACAGGGTCTCCAAGACATTCGCAGAGGGTCAATAAGGAAGCCACAGCAGTCACACCTACCTGACTGCAACACCCCCAAGGGAAAGGATCAAAGCCGGGCTCGAGGGGCTAAGGAGCCACTCTCTTCTGGAGTGTAGGCCCGCTTCCTGTCTGTGGGAAGTGAGCCTTTCGTAAATAAATCTTTTCTTCTTTCACCTCTGTGTGTTGCAGATCTTTGCATGACTCAGATCGCTGGTTGCCAGCGCACACCTCCGGCCGCCTCCGGCCTGCCGGCTCCGGTGGTGCTGCACCCATCCGTTCATCCACCTCACCCTATCTGTACCCTAAAACGCTGTTAATAGTGATGACATCAAAATAAACAGTCAGCCATTCTGTAAACACATACTGAGAATTTATCATCTGGATGGCATTCTCACATGGAAAATATCTACTTTTCATCAATGGCCAATCTAATTATATATAGTCTTATGATAACTTTTACTTGCTACTTAAGATTGAGACAAAGATGTTTGAAATACTCTTACAATTTGAAAATGTAGACTGTTCTGGTGGGTTTGGAGTACAATTAACAGTGTGTTAAGAGAGGTGTAGTGACAGAAAGTGTTATCCTTCATTCTAAAGGCAGGTTTAGGAAATGTGAACAATGTTTATTATAACGCAATTCTTTTTTTTTTTTTTTTT